GCGGGGGGTCTTACCATGAGAGGTGGAACCCTAGGACAGGAGGGGTTTGGGGAGCACGTCCAGAGCTCTGCTGCCAATGTTGCAGGCCTTCCACCCCACTCTGCCTCTGGCGTTTCAGACTTCTGGTTCTAGTTGAGGCAGTGTGGGCCATTTCTTCTAAGGCTAGCCTTCATGGCAACTGGAAACTTATAGTTGTCCCAGCCCTGCCTTGAGTTATCAGCCACCAAAACCTCTTCAGCAGAGCTAATCTGGCTGGGGTAAGTACCAGCTGGCTAAAGCTGGCAATCTCATCAAGAAAATTCCCCGATTTTAGTTTAAGGCTATGCAGGCCATCAAGTGGGATTGTGGTAGGTTGGAGGTCTCAACACATGGTGTGAGGGAAGTGCCTGAGAACACTTCTAGATTTCGGTGAGGGTCAGAGAGAGCATGGGTTGGGGACTTCATCCTTGGCAGGAGAAGAAGCTAGTGGGTAATTAGAGGGAGGCCAAAGCAGGACACACTTCAGCTTCTTTTTTCAGGCCAGAAGAGATGAATGAGAGGCACTTGTAGGCCACGGTCCACTCTGTTTGCCAGACCAGAAAGAAGGAAGAGAGGGCTGGGGGACTGAAGTTAGCCCTGACCCCAAGTCTCACCTCTGCCACACACTGGTTGTGGCGCCTCAGGCAAGTGAGTTCATTGTCTAAACTTCTGTTCCTCATTTATGAAATGAGGGCAATAAAATCAGCTTTACTTACCTGACTGGTTGTTATAGCGATTATATGATATATAATAAGGGTAAAAGTTTGTAAACGATATCATTGGACACAGGCACAGGAGTACAATACTTGCCAATATTAAGTATCACCCAGGGAGAATTCTGTTTTCTCTGCATGGAGGTGTCTATTGGTTAAATGCTTGTCAGAACCATCCCCTGAAACACAGCTAGCCTTTTAGGAAGGTTACCTAAATAACCCTATAAAACCCCTTTACTCCCTCTCTTTCCTAGTCCTCCATTTATCTCTAAACTATTTTCTTGTCCCATGCAAGATTTGTCAGAGCCAAAAGAAGCCTGACTGGCCTGTCCTCATTTCAAATAAACTCCAGTGAGTGCTGGCCACCACAGCCTGGCTAGCAGTAACTGGCTTGTCCAGTGTGCAGTCTTGGTGCACTCCAGACCCAGGTAAGGTCTAAGAGGCCCCTGAGCCAACCAAAATGTTTTCCACAGGGAAATGCTTCAGTCTATGACCAACTGTGTCTTCCTGGATGTCTATCTCTGGGCACCCTGTTTGCTGCACCCTTTGAAATCACCTGGCATCTGCTAACACCCACCTCTCTCCTCTGCCTGTGACTCCTTGCACATTCCCATTCTGTTGGAGCGATGTTACTTCTCTTAGACATTTGCCTCTTGATGGGAAAGATCTTGTAGAACCCAGTGCAGAGTCAACTATTTTTATGCTATTTTACATTTCTTGAGCAGCTGGTAAGTGGGCTGCTGCTCATAGCCATCTCTACCTGCCCTCCCCTTCCCTCATCCCCTCCACTGCCATGAAAGCATAAAACTACAGAAGAACCAACCCGGATTTTCAGCTCATCCTCTGCCGCTTCCGCCTGACTTCCATCTTCTGGGCGGAGCCAGCCTTTCAGCTCTCGGGGTTGTAGTTTGACCGGTGGCTTCTTGGATTCCTTTCTCTGCTGGAGAGAGAAGGTGTTCTCTTTAGGGCCCTAAGCACCCATATCTTCTTAGAAGCAGAGAGAGGTGTGGGCCTATGGTCGGACCCAGAGTCCTCTTTTGTGCTCTAGGAGAAAGCTGAAGTCCATAGATGTTGAGCCACTGCCCAGGTCATAACAGCCGACTGCTATGTGGCAGGGCTGGAAAGAGTTACCCCAGTCAGAATGTGGGGCTCTGTGGGGAGATATCTCACCTGCACTTTCTGGTGTTCGGGACTCAGGAAGCTGGAGCCTGCCATGGCCAAGTCTACCCAGAGCACACTGAGGAGCAGCAGGCTGCAGATGGTCCCCAGGGAGGGCATGGTTTCAGCTGGGTGAGGACAGATGGGTCTGGAGGAGACAGTTTCCAGGCAGCATACCCTTCCCTCCCCTCCCCTCTTCTCCCCATGCCTCAGAACTCTAGGTAGGAGCCTAGCAGTCAAGGTGAGGGACTTTGACCTGAGATGGCAGCTGCTGAATAGAGAAGCTCTTCTCATTCCTGCCAGAGAGGCTCCCTCTGTCCCCCTCACCAAGGTAGGAGCAAATAGAAGAATGTGTGTGCTCTCTTCCAAGACTTCCTTCAGGGCAAAACCCTTGTTAGTGGGATGCCCCATGTGGTTTGTCCCAGCCTCCAAGGAACTTGAGCCAAGTTTTTTTAACAGGGATGTTGAAGCTGAACCAGCAAGGTTACCAAGAGATATGGGGGGATTGGGGTGGCTCCTAAGCCCAGGCTGTGCAACCTCCCCTTTGTTCAGATGGGCCTGCGAATGGCCAGCAGTCAAAGCAGACCCACACACACAGTGAGAAAGGGTGCCTACCTGGGATTCCTGGCGGAGGTGGTGCCTGATGGCTGTCTGGTCCTTATATAGGAAGCCCTGTGTTTGTTTTAAACCAGCAACCTCATCTCAGGGCAGCCTAGCTTCCAGGGACTAATTTACATTCCTTGGGAACTAAAAATGCTCATGTCCTGTGGATAGAAATCAACAATGGGGGTCAAATGCCCTGAGAGATTGCTGGGTTGGCTTGGGGTGGCCCATCTGTTCCAGCTGTCCCCAAGTGGGCCCAGCCCTGGTTTAGGGGAGTGGCTGGGGGGGTCCAGGCCAGCTTTGCTGCTCTGTGACCTTGGCTTGCTCCCCTTTCTGAAACTCCCTCCCTCCCTGGATAGAATGAGGTTATCGTCACTAGATCTCCAAGAGCTTTTTCAGATCCCATGCTTGCTGTTCTGTGACTGATGCTGCTCTTGCTCCCACTAACCTCTGGAGTCCAGTTCATATAATTCTCATACCTCCCCAGTGAGGGAAGTTCCATTTTACAGATGAAGAAACTGCTGGAATGGGCAGTAGCACAAGCTCCTAACATTCTAGGGAGCAGGCATAGGGATCATTTCAATCAGTGGCTAAACTTTAGTCAGTCCCTCTGGGTGATGCATGATGACTGTGCTAGGCTTGGTGTTTCTTAACATGTGGACTTGCTTCCGCTCCCCTCAGCCAGGTTCCGAGGGGGAACAGATTAGATTTGGAGGCAGAAGAGCTGTAACTTAGTACTGGCACAGGTAACTACTCATAAGTTGATTGGCTTTAGGCAAATCAGTAATAATCCCCCTTGTGTCAGGGCTGTTTCTCCAAGTGACTTTGAGGACTGAATGAGGTGATGGATGAAAAATCCTTTATAACTTGTAAAGTATCATGCAGATGACAAGTATTTTTGTACCAGGACTACAGGGCTTGCAAGCATATGCCGCAGTCCTATGTTCTCAGATGAAGAGTTAAATAACATTATGGGGGATTCCTTCACTGTCTGGAGTGCTTCATCTAATTGGATGCCTGGGCAGTGATTCCTAAGGGCTAAATGAGTTGTCTACAGAGACATTCTCACATTTCAAAGGAGAAACTCGCTTCAGGCTCAGGCTCCATGCAAGAGGCAGATGGCAAAAATGGAGGAGGGCTTTGAAGGGAGGGCATCGCTGTAAGCAGAGCGGCGTGAGTGAAGTGAACAAACAGAAGGCATGGATATAGAATGGGGCAATGGTGAGAAGATTAGGTGGCTCGGAGGATGGTGGTGATTGTGTGAGGGGGTCATAAGGAAAGGCCTAGAAGGCGGTTCTGGGTCTGGTTATGCACTGCCTTGAAAGGTGCTAGCACAAAGAGTTCAGGCTTTATCTGTAAGAGGGAGGGCAGTGAAGGTTCTTAAGCAGAGGAGTGACAGAACATAGGATAATGAAAGAGCTGGAAAGACCTTAAGGTCCTAGGATGCTGAAACTTTTATTTCACTGGAAGAAAAACTGAATGCCAAATGGGCCACGCTTTCCCCAAAGCCACACAGCTATCAGTGGCAATGCTGGGACTCCCACCTAGGTTCCTAACTCCTAGTCCAGTGTTCTCTCTGACATACCATCCTGCTTCCACAGCAAACATGGTATCCAGGAAAGTCATTGTGCTCCAAGCAGGATGGGACTGGGGCAGAGAAACAGGAGGATCTTGAGGCAATAGAACTACTAATTGTCAAATGACCACCCGATTTGAAGTTCAACTTCAGAAGGCACTGGACCCTTGTAGAGAGATGCTAGGGACAGTGAGACACAGAAGGGGCTGGACAGCCCCTCAGTAGAATATGAAAGACTAAGTACCTTCTGTTGAAAAACATTTCATCACCAACTGTGAGGTGGGGGTGAGTGTGGAGTCCCTCCTTTAGTCCTAGGAGTGTAAGCATGTTGCCAGGAGCCCTTCACCCTGTCAGGCACGTGACCTTATACCTCTTATCTCTGGGGCCGAAAGGGCTGAAGGTGAAGGGTTGGGAGAAATCTGAACCCTCAAAGACTTGAAGTTTTTTAGAGGCACCCTCTTCCAAAAAGACCCCCAAACCCAAGCTATAGTAACCAGGTACCCTCTGAGACATGAAGCCTCTGCTTAACCCTAACCCGGGAGGCCTCTGGAGGCAAGAGCTGCCAGTGTTGATCTTTGATAACATCACCAGCAAGCAAACATCCACACTCTTGTGTGATCATTAGAGAACAGAGAGGTGGCCTGTGTAATGGAAACTACCCTGGCCACATAGCACAGAGTCGAGGCTGGTTGGGGGAGGAAGGGAGATCTGACAGATGGCAGAACCACTGAGGGAGGAGGGAGGTGGCACCCAGAAAGTACTTCACTGTTGTGGAATGGGGACAAACCTGGGGTGGGAAATGTACGCAAAGCTGGACCGGGAGGAGTGTGGAGGAAGACCGTGTCACTTGGGGAAAGGACCAACGTTCCCTGATTCACTTTCTTCATTCCTTTCAAGTGTGGGTACTACCAAGGCCAGTTTGGCACCTCCCTGTTCTGTAGCTTCCTCAGAACTTAGGTGCTTCAATAGGCATGCTTTCTCTGGATTGCTTGCTGGTTGGTGATTGCCTTCCCATTGCAGGGCCTTGAGGGCCTACCTTAATGAATGGATGAGAAGCGCTCATTAATTAATTGCTATATGTAAATGGTATCTGAGAACAAATTGTTTTTATATACTTTCCACTATAATTTCATTTGTACTGATAATTAGTTGGCTTAGCAAGCATTTTTTTCCCTACCTATTTGGCTAAACCTTGGTCTGAATGAGGCAGATTCTGGGGTTGTAGAAAGTTTTATTTTTTGAGATAGGACTTCTTGGTGGGGTCTCTTTTTTCTCATAGTTCTGGCTTCCATAACTTCTAGATCAGCATTGTTCAACAGAAATATCATGTCAGCCTCAAATAAGAGCCTCATATGTAATTTTAAATTTCTTAGAAGTCACATTAAAAATGTGAAAAGAAACAGGTGAAATAAATTTTAATAATACACTTTAATACATCTAACATCAGTTCAACATGTAATCAATATAAAAATGATTAATGAAATATTTAACACTGGTTTTCTTTTTACTAAATCTTCAAAGTCCAGTATGTCTTATTTGTACAGCACACACCAATTCAGACTAGCAACATTTCAAGTGCTCAGTAGCTACATGTGGCTCATGGCTACTGCACTGGACAACACAGTTCTATCAGATAATCATGGGTGTCACTCTTAAAACTTCCATAACCTTAGCCATGCTTGGTTCTTCATTTCTCTTGCTGATGGAAACAAGCCTCTCCCACTGGGGCTTCCCTGTTCTACTGCCATTGTGGGGCTGGAGCCCCAACAATTTGTCTTTCCTGTCTTTAATCTTTCCAACATCTTCCCTGAGCTTTAAAATATACCCAGGTCTCTAATTCTAGAAAAGTTTATTTTATACCAGCCCTCCCTTCTCCTC